CATCACTTTTTTATAAAGGGGGGGGGGCGGGAGAAAGAAGAAGGAAACGGCTCTCAGCAGAGCAGAGTTCCCCACGCTGGTCTTGCAGGAGAGGATGTAGCTGAGCTGAGAGGGACGCGTGGCTGAACTCAGGAAAGCGTGTGGAGTTGTTTGGTGACAGCGCCAGTACCCAGCATCCCTGGATCCTTCCCGAGCTGCGGTGTTGGGGGCTCACGCATGCATCAATGGGCAGCTCCACCCAGCCTAGCACGTGGAAGAGCATGACAACTGGGGGCCACGCGCCCCCCCCCCAAGTCAGGGAATGGAAGACAAAGCCACTTGACAGTTTTACATCTGTGTGTGCTGATTTCATGCTTTTTCTCGGGAGAGCAGAGAGCAGAGCCACCATCTCAGAGCAGTGCCGCCCTCCTGGGCGGTGAGGGCAAAGGGATGGGAGCCTCTGCCCTCTGCACATCCAGGCCCAGTGGGCTCCTCCGGCCTGGCTTCCCTTCTCTGTCCATCCCTCCAGCCCTGCAAGGGGAGCACGTTTTGCTTAGAAAAGCCAAATCCTGCCCTTGTTTCTGTCTCTTTCGGTGTTTCATGATTTGCATCTGTCGCCTTGAAACTGGAAAGCAATATTATCAATGTCTGTGCCAACTTTCCTGCCCTCCCCAACCTCCTTCCCCTTTTCACTTTTTATTTATGCAGGATGTGTGTTGTTTAATGGTGGGATGACCGCTCTTTTCTGTGTAGTTGTAAAAGCGCCCCTCGCCGCCGCACCACGTAGTGATGGCCGCCTTGGATCTAGGGCTGCCTGTCACCCGTCTCCGGCCTCGCAGGCCTGTGGGTGGCAAAGCCAGCTCAGGGCCAGAGAACGCAGTGTCCTCCAGGAGGGGGACTCGGCTGTCCCCCTGCAGAGTGGGCAGAGGCCTAGAGCCCGGTGAGCCCAAGGCGTGGCTGCGGGACTCTGGAGCTAGAAGTGATGCTTTCTTGCCCGGGCCCCGGTTCGGGAGCAGCGAGCTGGGTGCCCTCCCCTTGGTGCGTGGCTGTTCTAGCAGCTGCGATCCTGCTTTTGAGCTCGGCTGTCTACGGACCACCATGGGGAAAGGACTGCTGACAATTTCATTAAAGTTACCTGAGACTACTTGCATTAGTGGTGATTTCTGGATTGAAAAGAAAAACCAGGATGGGCGCCGCTGGGAAGAAGCCCTGAGCTGGTGGGGTGGGGAGCGCAGTGACAGGGCCGGGAGCCCAAGAGGCTTTGCTGTGGAGGAGCCAGGCCCGGTGGGGTCTAGGTGCCACAGACAGGTGCCAGCCGAGCAGCCTCAGGACACGGAGCAGCAGCAGCAACTCCACCAAGTGCAGGGTGGCTGGTCTGGGCGGGGCCCACGGCCTTGCTGAGAGGAGGGAGAGAGAGCAGAGGGGCAGGCCGGCCGGTGCTCCTTGGCCATGCTGGGCCCAGGGGAAGGGAGGGCTCCAGCCACGCACAGCCTGCGCTGTGCCTCTTACCTGCAGCTGCTGCTCTGGCGTGAGCCCCCTGGTCTTTGGGGCTTTCTGCTCAGACCTGGGTTTGGTGATGCAGCCAGGTCTGGCCTTTCTACCGGACATGGCATTCTGCTCTGCCCCTGGCCTTGACCACAGAAGCCACCCAGCCTACAGGGGAGCTGCCCCTGCGGTGGGGATGGGCGTGCGACGTGGGTCCTCCCTTGAGTGTGGCTCGGGGACAGCCAGGCCACATCCATTCAACCTTCAGCAGTGCCTGCATCAGCCGTCACTCTGAGGCCCCACAGGGGAGCAAGGCTCACCTAACAGAGTGCAAGTGGCCAGTGGCCGAAGGGTGGGTGAGCCCCAAGTCCTCCTTGAACTCCCAGGAGGTAGTTCTCATGAGCCGCCTGGTCAGCTCTCTCAAGGGTGACGGGGGCTTGTCGCATGATCTCCTATTTGCAGTGTGACCCTTCTCAGCTAGCCTGTAAACACCACTGCCCATGGAGCGTCACTATAGCCAAGGCCAGGTCACTGACAGTGGAGGCTGGGGAGAGACAGAGCCCATGACAGCAGCCCTGAGCTCAGGGTCGCCCTTCACTGGCCCTCGGCTAACCTAGGACTCAGCAATGGGAAGTGCCTCCACCCTCGGGTTCTCCGAGGCCTCAAAGCCCCCTAAGCCCCTCGGGGTTGGCAGTGGGTGCTGCCCCCGCTGGAGGAGCTGCATGGACGACACGCTGTTTTGCCCAGTCTGACGTCTGCCAGTGAGGAAAGGGCTGCCGCCGGCCCCACTCTCAGTGTCCAGCCCTAAAAGGTGACCGCACTCCCCCTCCCTACCTTCCTGGGCACAGGGCCCTATGACAGGTCTCTCACCAGGAGTTGATGTTTTGGGCAAGAGCTGACAGTGGGGAGCCCAGGCCCCCTGGCACGGCCCAGGGAGCAGGGCCATGCATTGCCACCCAAATCTGAGACCATGACACTGCGAAGAAGCCGCCTAGTCCAATCCCTTTACTTGATAGATAGGGAAATCGAGGCACACAATGAATCCCCTCACTCAGTGTCCCAGAGCTGATCCATGGGCAAAGGCCGAGATCCCAGGGCCTTAACCCCTCCTGCCCCAAGCTCAGTCCCTTTATGCTGGGTGACGTGGGGCTGGACCTCTCCCACCAGCCTTGGCCAGGACACGGGCACATGGCCGGGACCTCCTGGCATCATGCCCTGTCTGAATAAAGAGAAGGCAGGATTTCATGTAGAAATCTAGAAGGACTTTTATACTCACCCCCAACAGAATGCCCTGATTGCATTAAAAGGACCAACCATGATGGGCTGTTGCAAGAAGTTCCAGAAAGATAAACAGAAAAAGTGAGGGTGACAGACGCTCAGTGTTGAGGCCCAAATGGAGCAGCTGCCATGGGTCACTTGTGGTTGAGGGGAGCTGCCAGAGCCGGGGCTGGGGCGGGCAGCGGCACCCAGCCGGCCTAGGGAGCGGGGGAGGGATGGCTGCCGGCGGTGGTCAGCTGCCCGGCAGAGCCCTGCATCACCCGGCTCTCCCGGTACGGAGAGGCCGGCGGGGCCGTGACTAGACAGGCACACAGGTAAACGGTTTCCTGAAGGACAGGACCCCGCTGCATCTCTCGCCTGCCACCAGCTTGGAAAGACCAAGAGCCGTGGGCAACCAGGGCTGCTCTTCCGCAAGCTCCCAAACCGGGACATCACACAGCCATGTGTCCCAGGGAAGGCCATCTCACAGCTTTTCTATGGCCAGTTCAACAACTAGAACAGGGGGACCCAGGCACCCCAGCCCTTCCAAGGCTCAGTCCACACAACAACTATTTTCCCCTCCTGTGGGCAGACTGGGCAGGGCCTTTCCAGTCACTGTCAAAACTGGAGCCAGTGAGGATGTGACATTCAGGTGTTAGAGGGGGCCCTGAGGGCTGCAGCCCAAACAGGTTCAGGTTCCTGAGTAGCTGCCGGCTAAGCAGCCACTGGAAGAGAAGTCACCAGGATGGCCCAAGGCTCAGGAAAAGCCATCTCAGCCTCAGGGACTCCCTCAAGGTTTAGGTGACCTTGGACAGGTGGCCTCCAGACCTCATGGCTCCTGGGGCTACCCAGAGGGCAGCAGGTGCTATGACTGCTCGTTTACACATAGCTGCAATTTTTTTTTTTAATTTATTTTTTTTTTTGAGACAGAGTCTCACTTTGTTGCCCAGGCTAGAGTGAGTGCCATGGCGTCAGCCTAGCTCACAGCAACCTCAAACTCCTGGGCTCAAGCGATCCTCCTGCCTCAGCCTCCTGAGTAGCTGGGACTACAGGCATGCGCCACCATGCCCGGCTAATTTTTTCTATATATATATTAGTTGGCCAATTAATTTCTTTCTATTTATAGTAGAGACGAGGTCTCACTCTTGCTCAGGCTGGTTTTGAACTCCTGACCTAGAGCAATCCGCCCGCCTCGGCCTCCCAGAGTGCTGGGATTACAGGTGTGAGCCACCGGGCCCGGCCCAAAGCTGCAATTTTAATGAGGCAGAGAGTGTTGCCTTGCTGGGCGCCACTGTCCCTGGTCCCATCTGTGGCTGCCCAGTGCCCGGCCAGCCCAACCTCCCAGCCCTGCCACTGGGCTCTGGGGCAAAATGGGGCCTGATGCAGGGAGAGACAATGGAGAAAGGGGAATTGATGCTGTTTCTTCTATTTTCTGAGGAAAGTATTTAAAATCTCGGAGAGGAGGGGGCGATCAGAAGTTATCTGGGGGCGCGGTGGCTCACGCCGGTAATCCTAGCACTCTGGGAGGCCGAGGTGGGCAGATCATTTGAGCTCAGGAGTTCAAAACCATCCTGAGCAAGAGTGAGACCCCATCTCTACTAAAAATAAAATAGAAATTAATTGGCCAACTAAAAAATATATATATAAAAAAATTAGCCGGGCATGGTGGCACATGCCTGTAGTCCCAGCTACTTGGGGGGCTGAGGCAGGAGTATTGCTTGAGCCCAGGAGTTTGAGGTTGCTGTGAGCTAGGCTGACGCCATGGCACTCTAGCGCAGGCAACAAAGTGAGACACTGTCTCAAAAAAAAAAAAAAAAAAAAAAAAAAACAAGTTATTTGGGGCTGGGTGTAAGTGGCTCACACCTATAATCCCAGCACTTTGGGAGGCCAAGGAGAGAGGATTGCTTGAGGAGTTCGGGACCAGCCTGGGCAACATAGCAAGACCCATCTCTACCAAAAAAAATAAGAAAAATTAGCCAGGTGTGGTGGCATGTGCCTGTCATCCCAGCTACTTGGGAGGCCGTGGCAGGATTGCTTGAGCCTAGGAGTTCAAGGCTGCAGTGAACCATGATTGTGCCGCTGCACTCCAGCCTGAGCAACAGAGTGAGACCCTGTCTCAAAAAAAGAAAAAGAAAGTTATTTGGGGGGGGGGGAGAGGGGGGAAATGGGCATTTATTGAAACCTTAAAATCTGTACCCCCATAATATGCCGAAATTAAATAAATAAATAAAAAGAAAAAGAAAGTTATTTGGAACAAGCCGAGGCATCTGTGATCTCTGTCCGTGTTCTCCATTAGACAGACACTGTGAGCCACGTTTCCCAAGCAGGCCTCTTTCATCTGGGCCAGGAAAAGACTCCTGGGCTCCCAGTCGGGGGGTGCAGGCCACAGGAGCCCTGTCCACCCCAGCAAGCTGTTCCCTGGCCTCCACCCAGCCAGGCCTCCTCCTGGCCAAGCCACACTGGGGCCATGGGGTCGTGGCCAGTCCCACTGCTGCCCACTGGCATTGCCCGCGCTCTGTCCTCACTCCTTCCTGACCTCCTTGGCATTTCCCAGGCTCTACCTGGAAATGATTCTGTGGCTACGATGACTGAACTGTGCCCCCACCCCGGTTCCTGCATGACCCCTAACCCCCCAGGTCGGTGTAGTTGGACGCGGGTCTTTAAGGCGGTAATTCAGGATGAGGTCATTGAGGGTAGGGCCCTAATCCAACAGGACTGGTGTGCTTACGAGAAGAGACACCAGGGGGCGCCCTCTCTGCATGTGCACAGGAAAAAGGCCACCTAAGGACACAGCAAGGAGGAGGCATCTGCCAGCCAGGAAGAGGGGCCTCAGGAGAAACCAACTCCGACAGCACCTTCTGGCCTCCACGACTGTGGAGAGTAAGTGTCTGCTGTCCAAGCCAAGCTGTGGCATTTTGTCCCGGCAGCGGGAGGTGACTTACACAGTGACTTCTGAGCCCTTGACATGGAACCCGCCCGTGCTGTTCCGTGTTTGTGACCCCCTCGGAGGGGGCCCAGGATGTCGACTTACCACACAGAGAGCAGGGGGCTGTCGCTGCCCTCGGCCAGGGCTACAGCAGGGAGCCCCTGGGACAGACACACCCCACGTGGCCTCGCCTTCCTGTGGACCATGCCAATCTCTTCCAATTCACAGCCACCCTGAAGCTCCTAATTCCACCCACCGGCCAGGCAGAGACCCTGCAAGGGGGGTCCCTCCCCGGCTCGAGCCCACCGCCTCTGCCCATGAGCACTCTCCTTATAGCTTTCGGGAGGGAGGAAAAGAGGCAGGAACGCCCCTTGCTGACCCCTCCAGGCCCCTTAGCTATGGCCCTTGGGCCTCCTCCTTCTCCACCAAGCTCCTGGGAGGGCCCCTGCCTGCCTGGGGGTCTTGCCTCTTGCTGCCCATTTGCTCCATGCCCAGGTCGGCCTGGCTCTGACTGGCAGCCCAAGGCCCGGAGTGGCCTGGCGGACAGTGGCTCCAGCCCTGACATCTCTGACGTAGGTACCTCTCCCTCGCCCTGGTCCCTTCTCCTGCCCTGGCTGCTGTGACAGGCAAGGCCTGGTGACAATTTAAGATTACTTCCTCCCCAGGGTGGTTTTCTCAACGGGCTTGTGTTTCTTTCCTCCAGATCTTTCTAAAACCCTGAAGTGCCCCAGGTTTTCCTATAAACATAGCATCATTTATGTATAGCTGAGCTTTGGGTTCAAAACTTTACCCTGGCCGGGCGCGGTGGCTCATACCTGTCGTCCCAGCACACTGGTATCTGAGACAGGAGGATTGCTTGAGGCCAGGAGTTTGAGGCTGGAGTGAGCCTCTGTGATCATACCGTCCCACTCCTGCCTGGGTAACAGAGCCAGACCCTGTCTCCAAAAAATAGAAATTTTACAAATAAAAATCATCCCTACTTTTTACCCATTTGCTCAAAATTTGCCCTCAACTAAACCCCCTCCCCTCCATTTTTTTTGAGACAGGCTCACTCTGTTGCCCAGGCTAGAGTGCTGTGGCGTCAGCCTAGCTCACAGCAACCTCAAACTCCTGGGCTCAAGCGATCCTCCTGCCTCAGCCTCCCGAGTAGCTGGAACTACAGGCATGCGCCACCATGCCAGGCTAATTTTTTCTATTTTTAGTAGAGACAGGGTCTTGCTCTTGCTCAGACTGGTCTAGAACTCCTGAGCTCAAGTGATCCTCCCTCCTGGGCCTCCCAGAGTGCTAGGATTACAGGTGTGAGCCACTGGGGCCGGCCTAAATCCACCCTTAAAGGGAGAATTTTTAAAAGTGAGCTGTTGGGTCCCAAAGATGATTCTTGAAGAGATGTGAGCCTGTTAGCTCTGATGTAGGTGGGATTCCCAGGAGGCTCCTCTGCAAGACGACGTCCCCAGTTTGGAATCTCCTGCACAGAATTTAGAGGCTAAGACGTGGCTCTACCTCTTGGACCACTAACAGCTCTCTGAGCCTTGTGCGTTAAATAAGGGTCAAACGAGACACTTTGACACATACCAGTGAATATTATGGAAGCCTTCAGGGAAGCCGCATTGGAAATCCCTTCATCTGGGTCAACCCAGCTCTTCCCAGGTCTCTACTGTGATGTGTCATTGATGTGAAAGTTGTCAGAGTCCAAATGGAGTCCCTTGTGTTAAAAACCCTGACAAACAGAGCCGGGAAGGCCATGAGGGAGGGCTCTCATGCATGAGTGCCGGATAACAAGAAGTAACACAAAAGACCACAAAACCACCACCTTGCACGAAGGTCATCAAAATCTTACACACACACCCCAAGTGCTCTGCAACTGCCTCTGCGACCTGGGACTGGCGCCACCTTTGCTGTTGATCCTTGGAGCCAAGGATAACTATCTCAAAACAATTATGGAATCCTCCTTGTTTTTCCTCTAAAAACCTTTGTCTTCCTTTCGCTCCTGGACATGCACACAGCTCCCTGCACACATAGCACCGCATCCCATTGAACTGCCTACTCCCAGTAAACTTCGTGTTCTTCCAGAGCGCCTCCCTCTCTGTTACTTAGGTTGACATTGGTCTCCTGTGTTTCCCAGTAGAATGGAAAGACAACGTGTTTTTCCTCGCTATACTCGAGACTCAGCCTAGAATGCTTCTGTGACCAAATGTGTGGATTTTCTTCCCACTGACCTGGTTCTCCAACACCAGCTGGGTGTCCTACAGTTTAATTCAATTTTAGCAGAGTTAGTGCAGACCCCACAAGTTAAGCCCAGTCCCACAAGACTGTCCCCACGTCAGACGCCAATCGCAGGTAGTGGGTGCCCAGGTTGTGCCCAACTTCTGTCTGACTCCGCTACAAATTTGAGGTTCCCATCACACCCGCCTCAGGTTTGATTGTAAGGTTTTTCGGCAGCGGCAAAAAGAAAAGACAGACACAGAGAGAGAAAGAGTGGGGGCCAAACCACGTGGCTTTATTATACACTCGTGGATGAGGTTCTGGGGCCCCAAAAGAGGGGGGCCCCACAAGTCACCGCTGTTTGAAGGGGTTGAGGCCTTTTATACCCTTTGGGCCTGGCTAGGGACTTTTGGCGGGAAGAGCTGGGGATTTTAGGAGGGGCTGGAGGTATTTGTGGAATCCAGGAGCCAAAACGTTCTTATCCAGGTGGACATCTGGGTGTGGATCCTCTCAGCAGGGCCTGACAGTTTTGTCCTTGGCGGGTCTGGTCTCATGAGCCTTTTCTTTTTGATCTAGGGAAGGGAGGGGGCCGCCACCAGCCTTACATTGATAATTTGCTAGAGCAGCTCCCAGAACTCAGGCAGACACTTGGTTACATTTACCTGTGAACTAAAGTATAATTTTAAGGCTCAACCCCCACCGGCTGACTGAATGGACCTGCTCGTCGCCAAAGGAATATCTTAAAATTAAATTGTCTGCCAGAAGGAGAGAGGTCAGACAGGCCTCATCAGGCCCCCCTCCCTTCTTGGGGACTTCCTTTGTAAACCATTAACAGGCCTAAAGGGTATGCAAGACACACCTGCAGGTCCTCAATTTACACAACAAATAAATGTGCTGGTGGGCCTATCTCCTTCTGTTTAAACATTCCTTGGCCGCGTACTGTGGCTCACACCTGTAATCCTAGCTCTCTGGGAGGCCAAGGTGGCAGGATTGTTCAAGGTCAGGAGTTGGAAACCAGCCTGAGAGACCCATCTCTACTATAAATAGAAAGAAATTAATTGGCCAACTAATATATATAGAAAAAATTAGCCAGGCATGGAGGCGCATGCCTGTAGTCCCAGCTACTCGGGAGTCTGAGGCAGGAGGATTGCTTGAGCCCAGGAGTTTGAGGTTGCTGTGAGCTAGGCTGATGCCACGGCACTCACTCTAGCCTGGACAACAAAGTGAGACTCTGTCTCAAAATAAAAACAAAAAACACAAAACATTCCAAGCCTTTAGACAAAGCTTCATGTCTTTAACCAATTATAATCCAAAGAATCTTTAAACCCACCTTGTAACCTGTTAGCCCCCACTTCGAGATGTCCCACCTTTTTGGGCCAAACCAATGCATGCCTCTCACGTATTGATTTATGACTTTACCTGCAGCATCCAACCCCTTGTCTCCCTGAAATGTGTAACAACCAAACTGTAACGGAGCCCACTTGCCCAAGGCTTCTTAGCAGTGGCTCCAGGTCATGGTCCTCAAATTTGGTTCAGAATTAATGTCTTTAAAATTATTTTACAGAGTTTGGCTTTTTTTCCATTGACATACCTGATTAACATAAAAGGATGCAACTCAAGCACAGCTAGAGGAAAGGGAAGCGCAGGAGCATATGTACTGGGGGGGCAAGGAACTTCTGTGCCCTCTCCGGTGCCACCTCCAGATGTTCAGCAGCCCCAAAGCCCTCCCAACCCACCCTTTTTGGGTTTTTACAGAGGATTCATTACATAGGCAGTGGGATTGATTAATCCCACTGGCCATTGGTGGTCAACTCCATCTTCAGCCCCTCCCCTCTCCCTGGAGATTGGGGGATTTGGCTGAAAGTTCTAACCCTCCAATCCTGTGGTTGGTTCCCACGGCAACCAGCCATCCTGAGGCTGCCCCCAGCCCCCAGCCACCTGCCGTCCATTAGCAAGCCCTCAAAGACACTTACCACTTAGGAGCTGCGTGCCAGGAATTGGGATGAAGACCAAAATGTGTATTTCTTGTTATTGAAGGAAACCAGAATTTCGTTCACCCCAAAATATATTTCTTCAGCACATTTCGAGAAGGCTACTCAGAAGGGCGGCAAACATGAGAACAGCCCCAAAAAGCTCTTTTTGGGAGCAGATTTGCATCTGTAAAGGAAATCTATTCATACATTAGTGAAGAGAAGTCAACAGTAGATGCGAACAGGCTTTCTCTGGGGGCCCCTTATCCTATCTAGGACAGATGAACAGGAAAGGGAGACTGAAAGGGACTAAAGCCTGGCACTTATTTTTATTTTTGTTAGAGTTGAGGTCTGTGTTGCTCCACCTGGCTCTTCACAGGTGTGACCATCTTGCACTCCAGCCTTAATTCTCGGCTTCAAGCAATCCTCTCACGTAGCTGGGATTCCAGGAGTGGGCCACTGCCCCTGCCTTAAAGTGTGACCCTTTCTTTTTTTTTTTTGAGACAGAGTCTCATTTTGTTGCCCAGACTAGAGTGTGTACCGTGGCATCAGCCTAGCTCACAGCAACCTCAAACTCCTGGGCTCAAGCGATCCTTCTGCCTCAGCCTCCCGAGTAGCTGGGACTGCAGGCATGCGCCACCATGCCTGGCTAATTTTTTCTATATATATATATTAGTTGGCCAATTAATTTCTTTCTATTTATAGTGAAATTAGACGACCGAGAGCTACTTAGCTCTTGATCAGAATGCTGTAAATCCAGTGCTCAGGAACCCTACACATGCAACGGCGAGGCCGAGTGTCGGGAGGCAATCATGCGGCCATGTCGCCGACTCTGAAACCACCTAAGCGAGGAGGTGCCTAGACCCGATTCATCCTAATGGACAGCCAGAGTTCCACTTAGCAACAAAGTCGTGAGTACACCCTACTTATTAAAGTCTGACCAAAAGAAATTAGCGTTCGGCTTAGCATGCGGTGAGCCTGTATACCCCAACTTACTCGGAAGCCCTGACGCAAAGGATTGCTGAGCCCAGGATCTGATCAGGTGAAGCTAGCTGACGCCGAGAACACTCTGCATGCACCCATCCACACGCGCAGACATTGAGTACAATGACTCTGTACGTCATCAAAAGGATACAACCATATCTAAGCTTAGACTGCAATCTAACACCATCCTGGATCAACATCTTCTCTCCTGATGAATATATCTCTACAAAGATCTGCGAACACGAACACTCTCATCCTCCCACCAATTAAAATTCTCTCAGACAGCGCCACAGTGCTCACCCTTCACTCCCTAGTACTATGCTAACCTGGGAACATCAGGTGCCAAGGGCCGGCGACACAGATTTGTCCTAACGAGCGCTCAGCCTCAGTGAGAAGTGTCACAGTGACAAGAACCAAGCGAGACCACTGATCTCAAGCCTATATTACAAATTATAGACATTCATATGAAGTGCCTTATGCCACCGGAAATCTTACATCTCTGTGAGAACGAACCGGCAATACCCACATCCGAGTCAGCGGAGGCGATTGGGACAGAGTCCATATCTCTCCGTGGCCTCCCTACGGTGGCTCTGCCTGTATCCCTACCTCATCTCGGTTTAGAAGAGCAGGCGACGCAGCTGACAACGTTGTGTTATCGACCCGAGTTGCAGAGGTCTGCTGGCGGGAGTACGAGCCACATGGCACAACACCAGGAGCACTACCTCTATCGTGGCAACAACACCTAGACGCTGTCAATCACAAAAACTGATACAATAGAAGCCAAATCTCAAATGTGGACCACTGAGATATGACAGCCCGACTATTACGGAGAGACCCAAACAGGCACGGTAGAACTTGAACTTGTAGCCGCAACCAATTGTAGCTTGCCAGTGAGCACGACAGAAATATTAAAGTTAAAGTCTGTCACGAAAAGATCGACGTTGAAGACATATCAGGATGTCACAAGTTCTAGGATCTCAAAGTCAGGCTAGGTCTCCGAACTCTAGCCTGGAGAAGTGATTCCTATATCGCTGTCTCTGTGCCACAAGGTCTGCAAAGCAATTACTGGGACTATCACAGGCGTTGCGGAGAAATATTAGAGCGAATGTGCCAATCGCTCCACAACAAGACACACGCTACCATGAGGTCGCGTAAGGTCGATTTTCCCAACATACTTTCAACTCAAATGCATCTTCTTACACAAACTATTCAGCTCACTGGCCTAACATCCTCATTGACTCCATATTTCGTTGATACTAAATAATCACCAAAGTCATACTACAAAAATACAACCCTGTACACCCAAATAACCTACGATAATAAATATAAAAACATCTGTCATCATACTTAACTTTATAATAATATTACTGTTTGAAGGTGCGTCGTTTGCATTACACTCACACTGGCCAGCTGAACGCAATTTATAGGACTGTCGGCAGGCTGAGTTGCGAAGGTCACCTCTAGGTGGTGGAACAGAGAGTCTTAATGATAGACCACATATACTTCCTTAGCCAAAAGCACAAATAAAGACAAACAAAAAGGACATCTGACTGACCTTGATACTGTGTCGCCACACCATACTGAGTGGAGTGTTGGGGGCGAGACCAATGAAAATAAGCAGTAAAATGTGTCCACGCGATACGAGCAGCACTTTCTACTCTTAAGAGGCTAGGGGGAGAGAGGGTCCATGATGATAGCATATATTGTCATTAGTTCTAGTTTGAGCGACTAGATGCTCTCTACCCTCTTCGACACCCAGGCCACGAGTGAGTGCCGTGGTGTCATCATCACAAGGCGCACAGCAACCTCAACCCTGGGGCTCTCTCAATCAGGATCCGTCACTGCCCTAGATGTCAGCTCCTGAAACACGACTTTTACAGATGCATCACACGCACACGACCATGCAGCCGCTAAGCTTTGTTCTCATACACCGTATCATTCGCTGGCAGGCCATTGCTAACAAATGGGAATCATGGTCATGCCTGAATCCTAAACTCTGGGAGGCTGAGCAAGAGGACCTGCTTGACGCTCAGGAGTTGAGACCAGCCCTGAGCAAGAATAAGACCACTTCCTCATACAAAATAGAAATAAGCGGGTGTGCTGGTGCTCGACTGTAGTCCAGCTACTTGGACGAGACAGGAGGATGCTTGACCTAGGAGTTTGAGGTTGTTATGAGATATGATGAGGCCACTGCATTCTACAGGGAAGAGAGCAACAGAATGAGACTCTGTTAAAGAAAACAAACCAAAAAAAACCCACAAGAAACCACTTACAGGCTGGGCGCAGTGGCTCACGACTGTAGCCTAGCACTCTGGAGGGAGGCAGCGGATTACTCAAGGTTAGGAGTTTGAAACCAGCTGAGCAAGAGCGAGACCCATCTCTACTATAATAGAAGGAAACTAATTGGGCAACTAATATATAGAGAAAAAAATAGCCGGGCATGGTGGCGCCATGCCTGTAGTCCCAGCGCTACTTGGGAAGCTGAGGCAGAAGGATGCTTGACCCAGGAGTTTGAGGTTGCTGTGAGCTAGGCTGACACCATGGCACTCACTCTAGCTGGGGCAGACAGAGTGAGACTGTCTCAAACAAACAAACAAAAGAACACATTACAGGCTGGATACTTTCCGACAGCCTAGTATTAACTGTGCATTTGCTCTGTGCAAAGTGCATGAAGAGAAACATGGTGTGCAGGGGCATTTAATAGGTAGAACCCTGTATTTAGTCCCCAATGACCTCACGGGTGTGGGAGTACTGCCATTCTTCATAGGAGAAAGGAGACACAGAGAGGTTAAGTAACATGCCCAAGGTCACACAGCCTGTAGCTGTCTGAGCCAGGGTTTACTGAAGTTGGGGAAAACACAACACGGCCACCAGGGAAATACCAGCTCACCATTCCTCTTGTTGGCCTCAGTTTCCATGACTGTGAAATGGGATAGTCAGACCATCTCTGATCTCTGTAGGCCATGAAGAAGGGGGGACAACCTGGCATGAGTCACTGTCCTTCCCATGTTTCCAGCTGGACACCCCAGGGAGCCTCCCAGCCTCCGGGCCTGGTCGCTGGGTACACAGGGCGAGCGGGCACGGCTGGGAGGGCAGGTGACTCATCTCTGTTTGCAGACACTTCCCTGCTTGTCTGACAGTTGCACATTTCCAGGACCCAGAGCTCGGCTGGCTCCAAGAGAGGCATGTGAAGAATCCCAAGCCTGATGTCCTGGCACTCGGAGCTGATCGCTTGCTAACCGTTGAGGACAGTTGTTTTCTGATTAAAACTTGGCCTGCAGTCCCCACTAGTTCCATCTCCTCCAGCTGTGGTGTAGACGGAGGCAGCTGGGCCCGAGTCAGGTGGTCAGTGGTGGGGTGGGCTCAGGGTGTGGTGCTCGGAATGAGCTTAGCAGGTCATTGGGAAGTCACAGGTGCCGGAAGAAAGGGTCCTGGGGGCGGAGCTTGGCGCATCTCAGTGGTGACAAAGCCTTGGCACTACAGGGCCAGCAGGGCCTGGCAGGAAGGGAATGTCAGCCGCTGGGGCACTCTTAGCCCATGAGTGGAGGTGTTAAAAGACAATATTACAGCAAATTAAGCCTGAAGATCTTACTTGGCTTTATTTGCAACTCTAAAATCAGGCAACACTTCGTTCCATAAAATAGAATGAGTGCTCTGATGAGCTGAGCACAGGAGGTTGGTTTTATTAATATAACAGAAAAGGGCTGAAGAACGCATAAATATAACACAGAGGATTGATCATTTCAAAGGCATTTTCTTTTCTTTTTTTTTGAGACAGAGTCTCACTCTCTTGCCTGGGCTAGAGTGCCGTGGCATCAGCCTAGCTCACAGCAACCTCAAACTCCTGGGCTCAAGCGATCCTTCTGCCTCAGCCTCCCGAGTAGCTGGGACTGCAGGCATGCGCCACCATGCCTGGCTAATTTTTTCTATATATATATATTAGTTGGCCAATTAATTTCTTTCTATTTATAGTAGAGACGGGGTCTTGCTCTTGCTCAGGCTGGTTTTGAACTCCTGACCTCGAGCAATCTGTCCCCTTCGGCCTCCTAGAGTGCTATGATTACAGGCGTGAGCGGCCTAAAGTGTGACCCTTTTAAAGGTCTGACAGAGAAAGCTCTAGCAGAGAGCAGCTCTGATATTCCCTGAGATTTTCATCCGTGTAACAGGACAACCTTTGCTTGACTTTCTTCCCTCCCTCCACTC